CAAAACAAAACAAAAAAAAAAACCACTAAACATTGCAAATTTTAAAGCAACTTCTGCACTGGCTCGAACAGAGAGATTTGGATTTTGTTACCCCTGTGTAAACCCATGCAGACTTAATTGTCCATGGAGTGGAGACACAGCATGCCTCTGGCTCCTCCAGAGACTCTTATTCTTACTTCAATGTTTCATTGATTTTGAATAATGAATGAGATGCAAAACACATTAAAAACCAAAAGAAACATGCATGTCAGAACTGATGACTGCTAGGGTAGCCACAATTCAGAAAGTACAACTTTCCAAATGGATAAGTGTTCATTAGTCACAACTGAAGTACTATATATCCACTATAGCTTTCTTGGAACCCAGCAACACTAAAAACAAGACTAAGTACTCACCAAAGGAAAAAAAATGTTTGATAATCAGTTTTCTTTCTCTTTCAGGATGCTGATTTCCATCCACCCCCAAACCAAAAATATCCATCTTAAAATACAATGTATTACAAGATGTTAGCATTATATCAGAAATACACTGACCTTTGTATGAGTCATTCAATCAAATCTTCTCAGTGAAGAAAAATAGCAGACCAAGCAACTAAGCATTTAAGATATTCTGACACTTCCAACAGAATTACTTAATGTTCAGCTTTGAATATTCAAAATGCTCAAAAAATAGCCACTGACTATAGAAGAACTGGACATATATAAGATGAGCAAGCATATGTCTGTGAAGATAAGAACACCAATCCTCTAAAAAACGAGCAGCTACAGCAGAACAGCAGGAAAAACAGTGGAACCTGACAAAAAGCCATTAAGAGCTGCAATGTTAAGAATCACAGGAGCTGCCAGGTTGGACTGAACAAGGACTGGCACAGCTGCCTGAATCCAAGCAACGTCTCCAAAGTATATCCAAGAACGAGGTAAGTCATGAATATTCCCCATTTTAGTCCTATCAGCAACAATTACTCTCTAAACATCTGAAAAATAAAATTTCATAGTGCTTCTAAAAAAACCCATCACTTTTAACAACTAGCAACTACAGACAGTTACTAATTTAATATCCAAATTCTATGTCTTTCTAAATAGAAGGCTTCACCAGCATCATGCTTGAACACATTTCCACACAAGACATGGGGATGTGAAACATTATCTTGTCTTATTATAACGTAATTCTTTACAAATTCATTAGTGCCATCCGTGTGAACTGAGAGCAGTTTTTCTACATAATTCACTACATCCCTTATAAGTTCTTCCTGTATTTCTAAATAGTTTTGCTTTCTTAAGATGCCTTTTGATGTTGCAAGGTGGTTTCGGTTTTTTCTAAGACAGGATGACAAGTTTTGTATTTTAAGTGATTGGATGATTTGGTTTTTTCCCTTCTCAAATGAAAAACAAACACCAAAGCAAAGAAACAAACAAATCAAACAAAAAAACCCACATGCCACTTGACCTGTTTCAGATAGCTATTGACTTAGTTCCCTTGGAAGCTGATAGCCAACGAGCTTTGACAGAAGCACCTACAAACCCTTATACGCATGCATGCTACAAAAGCTGTATTGGTATGATCCCACAGCAGCAGAACTGAAATCATACATGCAGCCTCAAAGAGACACATCAGGCAGCAACGCTGCACTCAAACAGAAAAGAAAGGGCAGGCTATTTTGCACAGGATCCACTGCCAGGTCAAAGAACACTAGAGTATTAATGTGCAGACCATAACCAATAGCCAACAGTCATAACTGGTGTGCCTCTTTTAGGCTCATTCATGGCCAGTTTTCACTGAGGCAAATACTACAGAAAACAACAGAATGTAATCTACCACTCTACATTTCGAATACTTAAACAATAGCTAAGTTGTCCTTTTGGGACATAATACCTCTATGATGCAGGAGCCTACTACTTTCCCAGAGCCAAGTATCCTTACTCTTCCATAAGAAAAGAAGCCAATGCCATCTAGTAGTCAATAGTGAGTTTTACGTTCCCATCTGAAAATATAGGAACCATTCTACATGCCAATGTATTTTCAACATTGTGTGTCCTTCACACAAAGAGCACAGAGGAAAGACGCACGTCAGAAATACTGGACAATTCTGTTAAAGAGCATCTTAAGAGAGAGACAGCATGCTCTCTCACCAAGAATACTGTGAATAAAGAGAGCAAATTTCAGTTACCACTGTAAAACCAGGTGGAAAAAAAGAGCATTGCCATAAGCACAGGGATACCACAATAGAAAAACAGGTAATATTTCTGCTCAACACTTCACTGTCTGTGTTAATTCAACATAAAAGTTAAATCAAAAAATAAAGCCTATAATGAGCTTTGCAAAGTTCTTGGAATTAACACATATGGGACTGATGCCTAAGTGCCTGACTGGAGCACTACATGTGAAAATCCCAAGAATCGATTCAGATAGCTGAGCTACTCCATATCTAGTACTTCACAGTGCACAACAGTCCATGAATTATCCCATTCTACATTGTAGCCCTAAATCTGCCACCTCTGCCAGCTCTGCTCCACTTCCCTCTTACGTAGACCCTGTAACCTGATGGAGCTTCATGTAAACACGAGCAGTCCTAGACATAACTATGCAATAGGCCCATCCCCTTAACTGTACATTATTCTTCCCTGAATTACAGCTTTCCCTTCTCCTCCCCTAGTCTGTCACATCAAGCAGAAATTTCCTCAAGCATTATTTGACAGCTATGCTGATAGGTTCAGAAAAAACAATGTAAGCACCTCCACAATACCACAGCAATATAAAGCTATATAAAGAGATTACTTCCAGCAGACAAAATATCAAATTCATTCTCCAGTCGTTCAACACTTTAACACGACTTTGCAGGTAAATATATGCAAGTGCTAACTATAATAGAACGTTTCAGCTTTGTCTATACATAAACATTTGAAAAAGTGTAACTGAAAAGACACTTATCTAATTAGACTGATGTCCCTTCCTACTAGAAACACTTGAACCAAACTGACTTGCATTGAGTTACAGGGACTTAAGACACCACACTAGTTTGCCCACTTATCTGAGTTTTACAGGTTAATGACAATGTCAGTTATACATCAGTGCAAATGGTCTATTCTGCAATGCATAGGCTTACCACAGTATGAACTGCACATGAACCAGGCACAGCTCAGACAAAATCTTTAGAAGTAGTAACCCTACACTTCAGTAGAATGACTGATGTATAGCAACAGAGAACTTATGGCTTCTTCACTAGTGCAAAGGGATGAATTCTCTCCTGTAGCACCCAAGCAAAGAACTCTAATCTAGTTTAGTTAGAACTGGTTACTACTGTTAACATTAAACAAGTCCAAAAAAGTCACCTGATGGAGCAATAGCAAGGCACATAATTTTATTATTATTACAAGCTGCAGTAGATGCAATGAGCTACACTGCACACGTCAGTTTTCAAGGGAAATACAAATGCCAAACTACAATTTCACATTTTCCCTTTAGAAAACATTTCTTTTTTTTTTTTTAACCAGAAAAAACTTTTATCCAGCTTTTTAGAAGCTGGATAGGCTAACGAGCTGTAGTAACAAAAGACCCCAAACACCTTGTGATAACAAAAAGCAAAATGCAGCTCTTACCACTCCCAGTTTTTCAGAAGCATTAGCTTTCCACAGACGAATATTCATCTCATCTGAGCCACAGAGAATGTATTTGTTATCTGAAGTCCATTTTACAGTGATGACATGCTGCATTCGTTTTGTATGATATACCTCCCTAAAGCAAAAAAAAACATTTTTAAATGATCTATCAATGCTTTTAGCATCAACATTACCTTTCAAAAGCATAAACCAATCTGTTCAAGGCAAAATTTATTTTTCACTTTGTGCTGTTTTTAAAAAATACAACTTTTTTTTAACACGGTGCTGATCTTAAATTCGTATAGAGCAATTCAAATGAAGTGGGATGGTTACACTGATAAAAGGACCAGCTGGGATAAGATGATTTTAAATAAATGCTTTCATAGAAATTACAGTAAACAGCTGAAAAATAACCCTTTTTGAATAACATGCCACAGCTATGCAATATGATATGCATACTATCACAGTCTAAAGGACTCCTAGGAAAAAGTTTTAAACCCTGAACACCCAAGAGTCTCCAGCACTGCAAACTACAGTCCATCAAGAAGTATCAGCTAGTGAAAAAGGATTCAGAACTGTTGTGTGGCTATTAAAGCACAAACCGCATTTAAATTCCTGCTAATCAGACTCCTGCTCAACAAGTGCCGGCAACTGTTGGAAAATATTTACACACATTACATTTAAACCAACAGTTAAGTGGAACGCTTATCTAATTTTCATTAAATGTGTACCAAACAAGTTGAACAGTATTTTTATACAGTTATTCTCTTATTTCTGCTATTAAAAAAAAAAAAAGGACTAATTACACTTTTCTGGTAATTTTGATTATTTATTAGCATTCTAAGGATGAAAAATAAGTAAGGCTTACTTATTGCACTAATACCCATTCCTTTGTTATATGAGTCACACCACAGCTTAGACCATTCTCTTTCTTCCACCCAGTTCAAAATCCAAGTAGGAACAGAAAGCAAATATGGGAACAACATCTATTCAAGAACCCTAGAAAAACTAGACTGGGGTTGAGCTGAAGGGGTTGTGAGAAAAACCAAAGTAATCAACATAACACCTTAAGTAAACTTTAGTAAGCTTAACCACCTCTTGTAATTCACTCTCAAGTGATGCTCCCCAAGAACATCCATGTAGAAGACTGAGCACAAATACCTTCAGAAAACATTAATAGTCACATCAGCTTTTCACTGATATTGATGTTTAATAGCATGTGTGCCCATACACATTTTGATAAGTATTTCTGTGTTTACTTTTGTTTCATTGATTTGCTTGACAACAAAGCTTTTCTTCATGCACCTTTTGGGGAAGCAAGTGCTTTCCTTTCCTTACCCTGAATTTTCAGCCTTTGCCTCTCCTGTTGCTGTCACCATAAATTATTAAATACCATTCTCAGGGAAAGGAAAAACGCAAAACATGGCCAAATACCTGGATCTGTAATTTTAAAAATTCACAGACATTCAGTTCTGTTTCTCAAGAATTTACTAAATTTAATCAACTTCCTAATATATTACTTCTTACAGCTAATCAGTTTCCTCATTTAAAATTCTTTTTTAAAATAAAATAAAAGGGAAGTCAGGAATTTTTCAGATTGGTGGAAGATCAAAAGTTAAAACTGGAATATCATGAGGATTTTTCTTTACAGATACTCTTAACTGCCCTCTTTGTCTTCCAAGTGGGATTGGATCTTGCATTTAGAGACTTTGCTCCATTCAATGGGATTAATTTCAACTGTGCCATTCTGAAAAAGCTCAGCTTCTAAAGAACTTTAAGTTTCCCAGAATGCCCTTGTCAGCATATATGAGGCTAAGGTCTTCATTTGTAAGGCTTTTTAGAAGGGGAAGAAAGTGAGGACAAATAGAAAAATTCCCTCCTTGGAACAGGCCTTTGCAACAATCTGCTATAACGTGGAATAAAGCCTTCTACTGTTACATTATGAGGTTGGCAAACTTCCCCTCAGTGATGTGCTTTAACTTTGTATATCACCACTTTTCTGAACATTATTCTACAGAAAGGAAAATATGCAGAGCACAGGAGCTGCCAACCATAATGTTTAATACAAGAATAATTAAAAAAAAAAAAAAAAAAAAACACAGAGAAACTGCAATAACTAATTAAATTTTAAATGTTATTGCAAGACAGGAAGAAAAGGAAAACTACCTGTAGATTAGAGGCAAAGGAAAATGTAAACATCTCCTCTCAATCAAAGCCGTTTAGGAGCATACAAGTAGTTATGTTGAATAATGCATACATAACTGCATCAATCAATAATAAAAATATACTCCCCCAATCAATTTTCCAGTATTTCCACTCTGCAAACCACTTAGAACTTGACCTAGTAGCAATTTTGTGGGGGGCCAAGGTTGGAGAGAGGACGGCAACTAGAAGCAAAATAAAGTTAAGAATAAAGAAAGACGAGAAAGCACTGACAAGAGAGAATAATGAAGGTAGGTTTATGAAGGACAAATGACACCAGACAGATCTGATAACTTGCTTCAATTTTCAAACTGAAAAAACAACAATAATAGAGTCAGTAGATCTAATCTGAGCTTCAGCAAAATATTTAATACTCTGCCTTATGAAATCTTACATGAAAAACTAATTCAAAGTGAATTGTATTTAAAGCATTGTCACAAGAATCAAAGCCTGGTTAGCAAAACATGAACAACAGGAAATAAATATACTGAAACAGATCACAGAAGTGTCCTAAACTGATCCTCAGGAATTCCTACAACTATGGTTTCCACTTAATGTCATTAGCAATCATCCATATAGGATGAAGACAATTCCTAGAAAACCAAATGCTACAATTGTAAGGCACTGCAGGCTTAAGCGGTGACAGACAGTACAAGGGGCCCTAAAAACATTGAAGCTACATGTAGAGAAGAATAAAACAGGACTCACCTTGTACACAAGTACACCAAAGAACAAGAATCCACTGTAATTTTAATGCCAAACTGCACGAATAGTGCTGTTAGGTAGAAGTTTTACTTTAATACATGCTCCAGAATTATCTGTCAAGTACACAACCAGTCAATCTCAAGTCGTATACAGAGTAAGATTTCAACACTCACAGGAAGTGAATGCTCCAATGAAGATGTTAACAAGTCAATTAAGAATTCTGATGTCTAGAGAGGGGGGTCACAGGAATGAATGACAGCATGAGAGAAAGGTGTAAAAATCACTCACCTGCTGTGACCTTTGTCTACAGGAAAAATGCGGACAGACTTATCAAAGCTGGCAGAGACAAATTCTTTCCCAGTGGGTGAATAATCCACATCAAGAACTGCAGACACATGATCCATATGCACCATCACAGGTGATTCAAGAAAGCGCATATCGAAAGTATATAAGCTTTAAAAAAAAACCAACAGCAGCTTACGATCTTAGCAACTCTTAATTAAATAATACATTTTTGCTAAGCAGCTACTTTAATCATACATACACACTTGAGCACAGATCCATATTGCAAAGGGAACTCTTTAAAACTGCTTTTAAGAAAGAATGATGCATTGTTTAGGGCCTGAAAAAAGTGTATTATTATTGGATCAGACCTAGGTTTCTTACTACTGTTAAAGAACAGATAAGTTTCCACTATTCCACTCTTCATCTGTTCATGGGTCACTGACCAAACAATTATCCAACTACCACAATGACCTCCTTTACTCCTTCTTCAGATATAAGCACATAACCTGAACTTGAACAAGCATCTCTGAATCATTACATCAAGCCTATCAACTCTGCAGGGCTTCTAGATATTCCCATATTGGCAACTCCTACCAGTTCAGAGTTTACTGTGAAGTTCAATTTGGTTGGCACCCTTTCCTACTGTCTAGCTGTCTTTAGGCCAGACAATGTAGAATCCAAGGGAAGTTTGGTCCTTCAGTACATGGCGATACTAATTCAGCAGAGCACATGATCTGTAGAAAAGCTTTACATTAAAAAATAAACACAGCTGTGTCGTTACCGACACCCGATCCCCGGGATAGCTGCCACCCAACTTCTACCGTTGGGTACCATCACAGACACTGGTTTCAATGTGAAGGATGCTGCAAATAGCATTTATTACATCACTACAATTACTTATATATAACAAACCACACCCACAAAACCCCTCATGAGCAATCTGAGTTTTCCATTACATCACGAGATCTTCTGCACGCCGATCCCTGCCTAGGGCGGGCTCTGCTCACCACAACACAGCTGCTCGACCACAGCTGGCTTGCTCATAAGCACTTCAAAACTCAGGTTGAGATCTACCTATACTCCCTTTGAATCAACAAGTCCACTGATACATAGCAAGGCATAACAACTAAGTAGATCATTAATTTGCCTAGTGCCAAAAAGCAAAGGTGCTTTACAAAGCACTTAATGAAAAGTGCTTCAGATACACTATTTAGTCTAACTACTATATTAAAAATTCATAATTTGGCAGGTTTTTCACCCTTCTTCCTACAGATGAATGCATAACTACAATTCAGTGTGTCTTATTTAACAGTTTACTGGCAGCTACTGCTTTCTCCTTCCATATTCTCCAAGAAAAAGTATATGAACATCATATTCAAAACTGCTACTCCATATCGTCAGCTAACACTTGCACGTGTGCTGCTGGTATATGCATCTCCCATTGTGCTTATGCTAATGGCTTTAGTCTGCAAGAGAACAGTTGCCCCTGACAGTAACAGCTACCATTTTGAGTTTAGCAAGGGGGGAAAAAGAACCACAAACAAAACCAACCAAACAAAAAAAAGACATGTAATCAAACAGATTAGGTAGCCTGGTAGCTTTACTATACCATAACCAACATAGGTGAAAAGCAGTACCTTAGATACAACATCCACTTTCAAGGTCTGGGCCAGATTTCATTTCCTCAGAAAAACAGCCTTAAGATAAGTGATAAAATCCCTATGTTCTAGCAGAAAACAGTGATCTACTGTTAGACCACTGACATCCTGGAAAAAAAAGGATATGTAGCGCATTTTGCAGTGGCCTAGTTTTGTAGAGACAGCTTTTTCAACATCAGATTAGCTGTTCACATGAATAGTATTCTTCAAAAGTAAAAAACTGCTCTGAGACATTGAAAGGGTAAGTATTACAGTCTCTGGAACTGTTTCCCAAAAGATTAAGAAATGTTCTCATCAAAATAGCTGATCAGTAATAGATCAAGCTGCACAAGAGCTGGCAAGAAAACAAACACTTAAATTGCCTCAGACTGGACCAGTAGTACTTATTTTCCACATCTCACTGCAAGTTATGATTGCATTGCTTCAGCTGCATTTTTTCAAGTTATACTGCTTCTTCCCCCCTCAGGTACTGAAATGTAGAGAAAGAGGAAGTCTACTATCAATTATTTTTTTTAAAAAAATCTGCAAGCCAATAATCTTTAGGTTATTACTTAAGTGATTAAAATTTAGAGTTCAAGTCATTTTTTAAAAATCTATTTTAGCATGATTACAAATCACCAAGATACAGAGTAAAAATGTAACATGCTCAGGATTATCAAAAAAGCAAAGTCACACTTACTTGTAATCTTCATTTGCTGCAGTAAAAATGAAAGCTTCCATGGGGTTCCAACACAGTGTATTTGTTCTCATGGTCAGGATAACCTGAAAGATATTTACACGTTGCTACCTTGTTATAGGCAGTAATATACGTGCTACAGTGCAAAACTTCCTATACCACTGGAGACAAGCACTTTCTAGGTACAGAATTATGGCAGAGTGTTTCCTCGGCACCGTTAGAATTTGAACTCAAGAACTTCTTGTCCCTCATCATATGCTCACTGCTTTGTGCTACATGGCAGTTAAATTTCCCTCCACAAGTCATCTTAGAAGCAAATTCTTTTAAGTGGTCCTTTTATATGTAAACGTGTTAGCAGCCAACATATAAACCTGGAACTTCTGAAAAAAATTTACTTCAACATATTTACAGGAACTTTTAGTTAAGTAATCTATAAACACGCCTAATTAAATGGTTATTTCAAGGGATACAGTCATCAATTGACACTGTGAACCAGCACATGCAAAGTGATGGTATTGCTTTCTGTTCTCACTATTATTTCTGTTATTACTACCCTTTTATTATTTTCTCTCTAATCACAGTTCACGAATTCTTAAGGACAGTTGCCATTTCTTGTTGAAGTGCCAAGCAATGTGTGTAGAAGTCACTGTGTTGTAATCTACTCGCCACTAGCACTGTGTTAGCAGTGACTCATCTGATACACATTCATATGATTTGCTTGCTGCTAGTAAGCAGATGGCTACAAAGAGGCCAGTTTGCCTTGAAGTGGGAGGAAGACAGCTGATGACAGCCTAGGAAGACCTACTTTGCTAACAGTGGACTAGACATGATGGATTAAGAAGCTATAGGTTGCATGCTGCCACCTTGGAGGACAGCTGAGCACCTATGGGAGACGGAAAGGCAGGGAGGAAGCCATCTGAAACCCCTAAGACAACAGCTTTGGCTTCTGCTAGTCTTGGCAGAGCTTTCAGCCATTGTATTTGACAATAAATTCCATACAGTACCCATGTGTCCTGGTTTGGGGTAAATAGAGCTGGTTCTCCTCAATGATTTTAGCTTTTTAGCTAAAGCTCTTCTAACTAACTGCTCTGTCTGAAGTTAGCAGCGTTTTCATAAACTATCTGGCTTTAGCAGTGATAAGAATTCATGTTTAGAGTCACCACCAGGGACTGGTGTGCAGACCAAGGCCACTGCTGAGCTTGGACCCCACATGGAGGGGGGCAGAGAGTACCCCGCACCTGTGAGGAGGAGTGGGCAGGGTAACTGACCCCAAGCTTCACCATTGGGGTATTCCACCCCATGGCCCTCATAGCTGAAGGATCAGGAGGGGCAGCCCTTCCCTCACCCCTTCCGTTCTTCTTCCGTCTGCTGCTGCTGGGCTGCTGGCTGCTCCTGCTGCAGTGGACAGCATCCGAGGAGGACTTCATCCACCCTGCCTTTGATCCGGAGCCCTGTGTTCCTGAACTGAGTTCCAGAAGTCCCCCGAGTCCAGCCTGGGACCCTTCCCAGGGGGCTGCTCCCCAGCCGGGAGTGACGGTGACGTGTTGCCATCAGGGGTAGTTGGGTTCAGAACTAACTTTGTACGTATTTGTACATACTCTAATTTATTATCACTAGTACTATTATTACTAGTGGTAGTATTAAAACAGTTTTCTGTTCTTTCCTAACCAACAAGTCTCTCTCCCTTATTCCCTTTCTCTTCCCCTTTCAGGGGTGAGGGAAGGGAGCTAACAGAGAGCACCTGTTACGGTTCTGGGGGCTGCCCTGACCCCAAACTGCGGCAACATGACACAAAGCAGATGTATAATTACAGAGCAACCTTTTAACAAACCAAACAACTCTAAATAGGATTTCCCACAATGCTCCAGGCCAGCCATAATCCTACTTGAAAATCCTGAAATTTGGGTGTTATCGCTCTGGTACTCCAAACTCAGTTTTGTTCCTACTCTATATAAAGTATGCACTGCAAAATACCACTCATTTCCTGAAACTACATGCATCCAGAACTGAACGTGATCATCAGATGACAGAAGAGATCTCTACTTTAAAAAGTGACTTTACTGAGAGGAGAGGCCACTGAAAAGCCCTACATTTCCAATAATGTGATAATCAAAGTTTGTTCAAATTCCAGTATTGTTCTTCTAGTTATAAACCTTGTGCATATCTGGGAAGCTAATAATCAAGGAAGGTTCTTTATTCCTGCCATCCAAGTTTTCAGTCACTGCAAAATGAGCACACAACTGATGTTAACACATTATCTGTATAATAAATATTTTAAATTATGCCACAAAATAACTCTAATTTTGCTGAAAAGTCCAGATAATTTTCAAAAGGGGTCAGGTTTGGTCGAAGTCCATGCTCAACACCTTGCTTCACTATTTTTTCACCCAAATTTACAAGTATCCAGTTTATTTCAGCAGTGGCATTTGGAATTAAAATAGTGCCTAAGAAAAGGATTCTCTATACAATTCTAGCATTATATTCAGTAACAACTATGTAGAGCAACCTGATCTGAAAGTGATTTAAGTTGCTGTAAATACGTTAATAATGGCATTTCAGATCTAAACCTGTAGCAGAGCCATCTTCTGACATTATTTTTAAAATCAGTTGTAGATACACTTAGTCATTTCATATGAAAAAGTCCTTATTAAGACAAATCAAAGTTGTGAAGTCCATAAAAGACTTGGCTGAGTTTAACTGTGAGCACTTGTGCACAAAAAAGAGTCAGCCCAGAGATTTTGAGGTTACCTTAATACAAAACCAGATCACCCAGATAATTAATCTGTCTTCCTTTACTACCTACAAGGTATTTGGTTGAGGTGAACAGCTAAGAATGTTACAAGCAATGGACAACACAGTTCCTGTCACCTGTTTAAATGCTTAAGTCTATCTTTAAAACACCCTAAACTTTCCTGTAATCCCAGAGATAGCACAAGGATGACTTTTAACAAGTACCAACACATCTTCCTATTGTCTTGCAATATATACATATGTAAAATTCTGTAAAGATTTGAACATAGCTCACAAAGGCTCAAACTACATCCTTTTAACTTGTAATTGCAGCTGTATGGCGCTGGCTGTGTTCACTTTGACACTTGGGTCTTTAACAGGCACCATGGACAATTTCTTATAAGCACTGTCTCAGTAGCCCAGATGAAACTTCATTAAACGTTGTTACAGCACAGGGAGAGAAAGAAATATGTTAGGCCAACAAGGTTCCTAGTTTATAACCAAGTTGAGTACCATTATCATGTTCTAGTGTATATCAGGCCAGTGTCAATGAAGACAACAGACTATATACCAAATGGATATCAATTATGTATTCACAACCAGAATATTGTATTTCAAGTGGAAAATTATTAAGATAGTTTCAGGGACCAAAACTACTGAACTTGACCAAGGTTAACATATGTATGAATTACTGGCTTCCTGTTTTAAATAAATACAAACACTCTCTTCAAGATAAATAGGAATCTTCATGTCATTGGTAAATTCCACATCTAAAACCAATTTTGATTCCACTGCAAAGAATTTCTGAATGTTTATACCAAGTGTGTAGGGGAGAGAGTTTATCTCCACCTTCTCAAACACAGAGCAAGGCTCTCCAATGGCAGAAAGGAAACGCCTTACCAGTTACCTTGTCCTTCTAGTAAGGCGAGGAGAAAAAGCCAACCAAACAAAACAGCCACACTGTAAATACACAGACAGAAAGCAATATAGGAGCACAAAGTTCTTACTGTGAAATTGATAAAGTGCCTGACTTGACAACAAGAATTACAACAGAGTGAGCATGACAGCCCATTTGAATGCAGAAAAGGCCCCTTCTAACTCTGCAAGTTTAAATCCCCAAATTAATTCAAACTCAGAAGACTCAAAATTAGATGATGAAAACTCAGTGAACTCACAGTTCAGAGCCTCCCTTTCTCTATCACCAGTTACAGACTGTCTACTTATTCAGTATGATTATTAGTGTCATAAGCTTCTGGTAGAAAGAAAAAAATTACCTTCTTTAATGGAGTGGATTTTCTCATATCGTATAGCACAATATTTCTGTCAGAAGCACAGCTTCCCAAAAGGTATGTCTAAAGAAATAAAATAAAATAAACAAACCCTGTGTATGGTATTCTAAACACTTCTAGAGTATTGTTAACAGCTTACATTAGATAAACTATTTCACAAAGCTGGTAGTCAAACAGTTGCTTTTTCATCCCAGGAAACGCATTCATTGTTCTTTCTGTGCAATCAGTTATTCAGCACAAACATTTTAAACAGCTTAAATGGCATTAAAGCCATTAAAGATGGTGTTTATTAACAGAATTTAGATCTCATGCTGATCAAGAAACAAATTTATTTCAAATACATAACAGAAACATTACCTCAATGGGATTAAATTTTACACTGCTTATGCTATCAAAACCCCATGTCATAGAGCATATGGGACTTGTCCTTTGCTCATCCCAGATATCCACTTGATGGCCACAGGTGGCAAAAACAGCTTCCTTCCAGTGGTGATCAATTCCTGTATACACTGTCTTTAAAAGAAAAAAAAAACCAAAACAATACACAAAACCAATTGTATACATAAATATGCAAGTGTGTTCTGTAACAAATCATTGCAACTCAAGTCTGATGTGTTTTTATTAATTTATATTACTGAAAACTAAGTCACCACTGCTACCAGAAACTAAGTCTTATTAGATGTACCCTTATACAACAGACTAGCTCTCTAGGTACTCAATGTGCATGCATGCATTTCTTGTTAACTTACAATGGTGTCAGCACTAGAAGCCCATTTACAAAGTTCTGGCTGACTCAGAAGCACATGAAATTTTTAAGGGTACAACTACAAATTTTCAGCATGGGCGTGAAAAGATTCCATAGGCATTACAATAATTAAAGACTTTCAAACTATTTACAAGAAGCATTTAATGTTGTTCTTAAAATAAGTTTATAACAAATTGAAAGTGCTGAAGTATATACTTTTAGTTTGCTTTTGCCAAAAAGAAAGACATAAAGTTAAAATTTTGTATTGAATAGCTCCGAAGGTATTGGCATGAAAATTATTTAATGCAGACTAAGCATTTACAACACATCTGAAAAGAAAAGACACTACAGAAAGATCTGACCAGTTCACAGGAAAGCAGTGCTTAGCAGAGATAGGTCTAAGCAGCCTCTGATAGCATCAGAGAGGGATATATCTGAGATACTCCTTTCTGGTTACATGTGAAAGAAGCGCAATACGAATTCGAACATACTTTAAAAGTATCAATACAAAATTTTACATTATCACCTTATAGCCCGTTATGATAACAAGTGACATCAAACTATTTCACTCTCCAAAAGCTAGATGAGCATTGATTCAAACTTAATTTAAAAGATGTAAGAAAATCAAAATTAGATTTAATACCTTTCCAAGAATTGTATGAATAGGTTCTTCTTCCCCATATTCTGGGCTCTCCATTTTCCACTGCTTCACAGTTTTGTCATCACCAACCTGAAAATATTGGAAAAAAAACATGTACAGTTTTATGTAAATTTATTCTATTTTATGAGACGTGCTTTGCAGTAAGTACAGGCATGCCTTCAAAGGAGAATGATCCATGACACACATAGAAACAAAGTGCTTTCTCCTGCCTATTCACTGTTCCCTTTTATACCTCCAAACTGGAGATTAGTTCTCCTCGGTAGATCTGGCTAGGAACTGAGAAGGTGCATGTGCATGATATAGCTGGAATGAAATTAAGCTTCTTCATAGCAGCCCATGTGGCACTGTGCTTTGGGTTTGTGGCTACCAAAGCACTAAGGTACCAGTGTCTTGGTGACAGTTGAACAGTGCTTGCACAGTGCCAGGGCACATCCTTCCCCCAGCTCCCTCAGTCACCATGCCCACCCGCCCACCAGCAAACAGGCTGGTGGTGGGCAACAGACTGGAAGGGGACACAGGTGAAGATGACACGAATTGGCCAAAGGAGTATTTCATACCACAGATCATTGTGCTCAGCAATACACAATGCACTAGTGGATGAAGAATGGGGAGGTGGAGGGCTGGCTCCCAAAGCGGCTGCTGCTCAGAGACTCTCTGTGGATCTATCTGCTTGTGAAAGGAGGTGACCAATTTCCTGTTTGTCACTGTTTCATCAGCACCACCTTTCCTTCACTTATTCAACTGTCTTTATCTCAATCCATGAATCTTCTCCAGCTTCCAAAAGTGACACTTCCAGGGTCAAATAGGGAAAAAAGGTAAGGTAGAATGATGATTTTTTTTTAGGCTACATTTTGTGATTCTTAATCAAAAAAGCACTTTAAACTGCAAATCATCTTATGGAAGTTATTTTGATTAGCAAGTAAACAGGCACTTTCCACCTTAGCTGCTCCAGAGTTTTCTGTTCCTAATGCCACACTTCCTCTTGCACTATGCCAGCACAAGCTTTTGCATGGCTGTGAAGTGACCTGTGTCAGGCAAATGGGCCAAAAGAAATAAGCTATACAGGTTTAACTTCCTCTCTTGACAGCACTAATACTGTTTCTTTTTCCCTGCTCTCAATTTTCATGCAGAAGCATTGTTAAAAGGGGATTCAAATTTGGAATCACTTAGAATCTTTTTGCTGTGACTTCCCCTACATCCTAACTATTGTCCTCATGACCTGGTATGTATTTCAGAAAGGACAAATACATAGTAGTGAAAATAGCTATTCTATGCCCTGCTTAAAAGAAGCTGTTGTGGTTTGAGGCTT